TGCTTCTAATCTTGTATAAAAAAGAAAGAGTTCCATATATGCATATTTGAAAAAGGCTGAGAAAGCCACTAGGAGGACATTCTGAGCTTTTGATTGGTTATTCACATGTCATAAACAGAAGTAGGTATACGTGAGCAAGTGTTTCCAAAAATGGAAGAGGTGGGCATGGCCACTGTTTTTGAGTAAATAAATGTAGCAATATCTCAGCAAATAGAAAAGATAGGAGGTTCTTATTTTGTATTCTAGCTTGTCAATATTGGTAAGTTGAGTTTCTAATTCATAAGAAACTAAACTTTTTTTGGACATCACAAACATCTAACTTGAACCAATGCTACATTCAACATACCACATGACACACAAAAATTGATATTTAGGATTCTTTTTTTATATATTTACTTTTAGATTAAAAAATTAACATATAATACTAAAATGTAAATTATAATTTACAATTTGATACAAAACATATTTTCATTCATAAAATAGTAGTTCAATAAAACTTTGAATGTAAGTCTACAAACAAGATGATATGCCCTTTGACCCATGACCATAGGAAAACCCATAGGGATAGGGTTAACACCAAACTATTATGCAATATGAAAAAAATGAAACATAAAATCATATCTACTAACCCTTGTTATTGGCTGGCTAAACTGTTTACAACACCAGTCTACAAACCCAGTATTAACGAGAGGAGATTTGTGACTTCCATTCTCTTCTTGTTCCTCTGCAATCTGTTAATATTTTGTATAAAACACAATATTTACAGTGAGAAATGAAACAGAACAACTTAAATTTTAAGCTTAACAAAATTAACAAACTAGTTTATCAGTTTAAATAAAAGCAATGATGTTTATTGTGAAACTACAGAAAAATATTCAAAAATAACTATGAAAGAAAAATACATTCACATGTTAATATTGTTAATCTGATTATAAATAAAACATGAACTGGGTACATAAAAAAAAATGTAAGACTGAATTTTCATACATGGTGCCAAGATGTATCACATATCCTCAACAGTATGGAGATTTTAAAACACTAAATCTAGTTGAGTCATGCAAGTTACATCAACTAAGAGTAACACAAGCATTTTTGCCATTAACAAGCAATTAAACAAATAGTAAAATCATCAAAAGATTATTAAGAAATGAAAGAATTATAGTTATATAATCTAAAACCTATTAATAAAACTATCAATTGTCAACCAGCTTACTTGGTTAATAAGATAAAATGCTTATATCCAGTTATACTATAAACAGTTATTTTATTAAAATTCTTAACAGTGAATAGACCATACCATTTTGAAAGCCACTCATAATTTTTTCTAGTATTCAAATACATACACACACAAAAAGAGGATGAGTACTTACTACAACAGGGCCTCTATCAAAAATTTTCCGAGTTCGTGTGAAATGAGCAGAGTAATGGTATTGCTGTCGAGGCTCTGTGAGCTGTCCACTTCCTGTATGAGGGCGAGAACTATCATGATGTCCCATATTGGCTGGGGGAGACTCTCCTCTGAAATGAATATGAAAAAGATGTAGCATAACATTGTACTCACAATCTAACACAAGTTTTGACTGCTTACACTCAACTTTAAGTTTATGAAGAATCACTACCTTCAGTAACGAATTCAGAGGATGAAGTAAAAGAATACTGAGGAAACAAATTCAAGGAATAAAAATACCTCTTTAACAACAACAATAAAGTGATCATCAACAATAACCATGAGACACAACTAAAATAATGTATAAAAAAATCTCCAGAAGCTTTCAAATGTTACATTCTCTTCATGCACCTGTACAACTTTCATCTTCTGTCTTTGTTTATACACAGTGCAACAAAAAGGACGGAAGTCAAAATCTGTATCTTCGTGTTGAGTCCAGGATTGTCATTTGTAAAAAAGAACTAAATGAACAGTATTCAACCCAGTTTCTTTCATCATTCTAACATTCTACTGGAGTACAACAACAACAACAAAGGAATTTGCTGAAGTATAAATCAGATAATTATTCATTAAACTTCTCTACAGTTACAAAAGTTTCTTCAAACATGGTACTGAGAGAATTGTTTACAGCAATCTAATCACATTAGTAGTCTTAAGAGATCTGATAATTTGTATAAATTCTTGAAGAAATATTTTTCAAGAAAGCAAATATATTTCTCTCTCTCTACACTACACACAAAACTAAACTTCCAGAATAACTATCATTTCTACACTATGTATACATACAATTTTAAAAGCTGTTGTCTTTTATATTACATACCCACACACATAACACTGACAGAAATAATCACTTTTAAAATAACATATACATTCATACAAAACTATAAAAGTTATTATAGCTTCTACACTAGATACAGTATTGGAAATAATTACATAAACAGTATTTAAAGCAAAATATTATGGATTTGCTCATCCATATATTGTATAAAAATGCACTGCTCCAACATACACTTTTGTATTGATAGCTTACACCGCGATTTACAGTCACCCAATTAGACAATGCCACACCAGTACAATACCTATTAAGTACAAGCAGTCACACTATTCACAGTAGTAGTATGGTGAATGTAATAAAGGTTCCACAGACAATAATGCAAGATAAATGGTTTGAGTGGTGAAGGCTACTCCTTGTAACAAGTTGACACAAATTTTTATGTTTCAGTAGAAACTATATAGAAACTCCAAAAAGGATACATGAAACTAGTTTAGCTGATAACAGAAGTAGCCAAGACAGGAAGCTCATACACTTCAAAAGTGATGATAAGTAACACAGGGTAGATATCTTGCCAATGTCCTAGCTACAAGTACAAGTGTGAAATGTTACCTCAGAACAGTAAGATACAAACATCACAAAGTGACCTAAGTGTATGTGTACCTGTTGAGATATCACTACTAAGGAGAAGTGACCAAACCAAAATGCTGAATGGGATTCAGCCTTTCACCTATGGAATGATGAATTCTGGATAAGAGTGCTCTTTAAAGATGAATTCAAGTTCAAATTGTTTAGCAACAATAGTTTGTTCAATGGCAGAGAGGAAAACAATTTCACAGTCTACATAAAATTTTGATAGCGAAGCTCTGTGTAATCCCTAAAACTTCCTAAATGCATTTCAAACGTTTTTTCAGTAAAACTTTATAGTTTATCAGTTATTTTCTCTACCCTATCTCAAAACAGGACCAGTCAATTGGACTGAACTCTAACCACCAAAAAAAAAAAAATCAAAATAAACATAAATTAACCTTTGTTTTTTCTTTCTAGAATGACTTCAAATTGTAATATGTAACATTTGTTTATCCTAAGTAACTCTAAGTTTGTAACAGTACACTTCTATTTATAATTAAATTGTATTGTTTTATTGCCCTTTGAACCATGTCTGATTGCTATCCCTGCCATTATAAGTTGTAAATCACTCTGGAAACATGCAGCTCACTTTAAGCTATCGAATAACATTACCCACGACCTGCTCGCACGAGTGTGACTCATGAAACATATTTATTATAATGTTATTATTATTTATTTTACCTAATCTAATCTTAACTATCCTAAAAGGATCCCTATTTTTATATTTTAGTTACTTTTATAATTATATATAAAGAATAAACATGAAAAACAAAAATAAAATACTTAACCAACCTTCTTTTTTCTTGCTGTTCATTGTTGAAGAGAATTAACCCTAATTTTTTTATACTAATGGTAGCAATGCACTTAATAATTTTTATTTCATTAAATAATGCTCCAAACAATAAAGACTAATAACATGCAAAAACTAGACAAATTTCCTTACCTCTCAAAATTATTCTGGCTTTCTAACTATGTGATAAGAGCCATTACAAATTCATCCAAGCTAGTCGTTAACTTTTTCATGGGAACAATGTTGGTGCTCTGAGTGAAATTGACATTTAACTGTTCAGAACATAATGTTATACAATACATTATTTGACAGATGAAAACTTTGACTTTCTATAGATAATATAAAATTAAATGTAAGAGAGAACTATCAATGAATTCTGAAAGAAAGGATGTGACAGGTGGGTGTGGCAAGAGGGGGCTGATTTTCTACTCAATAGCTCTGTAACCAAACAAAATTGAAGACTATAAAAATTATAGTTTGTCTGAACAATAACGATTTTATAGAGTAATTTACGTTTAATTTCATACTTTTTCAAGGGGTGGTGGATAAAACAGAGAAGATAGAGAAAATGTGTCACACTAGGGCTAATTCATGATTTTTTTAAATATTGCCTTGTAAAAGTAAGAACTTAAAAAACTTGTATACTATTAAAATAGGAATTATTAGCTAAGATTTTATGCTATTCTAATTTGTATAACATTAACAAAAAGTAGTTTAATAAAAACTTGAATGTAAGACATTAAAGCCTTATGTCATGTGCAGTAAAGGATACCCGTGGCAATAGGGTTAAAGCAACAAAAATATTAGTGCATTTTACAACGTATCTGCCTTTCTTTGTATTTTACATAATAATGTATAGTACTAATGATAAAATGCATATTTAGTTAAAATTACTCATTGGCTGTAAATCCTACACGTGTATCACCTGTGTTTCCATAATTAATTCCAAAATTGTACATTCAAACACTGAACACTGACAATTTATTTAAAATGTTTGTAATACATACATACAAAACTTACAAACCAACTAAAGCTTCTACAATACATCACACATAAATCTGAAAGCAATTATTACTTTCAAAATAATTATTACTTTCAAAATCATTACAAATACATACATACAAAACACTGAAAGATGTTATACATTCTTCACTACATTCAAACATGTAATATTGACAGTAATTATGAATTAAAAAACAACTGACACATCCATACAAATCTTTAAAAGTAATTACAAATAATTTAATCACATATTTAAGTTGAAAAGTAATCCTAGTTTCAGTAACATGTACATATACACAATATTTGAGACTAATCAAAGATGCTATATTGAGTACACATATAGAAACTCTGAAAAAATTCTGGTGTTATCAATAAGTACACACTTACAAAACCCTGAATGTAATTGTGGCTTTTACAAGATGTTTACACACAACTTTAAAATTACATCACCAACACTGAGTATAAATATACAAAATTTGGACCGTACATATGACTTCTATTCCTGCACATTCATAAATATCTTAATTTAGCAACAATACTCTGTTCTCGCACAACTGAATATCATTATTTCTTTTGACGGTGGTAAAGCCGAAAAGAGTGAAATACAGAACATATGCTCTAAAAACCTTCAGTAACACAATATATTTTTTAAACCTTTAAATACCTGTGGTGTGTCTTTCATATCATTTGATTTTTTTCATTCTCAAAGTGAAAATACTTAAACAAGTTGCAAGAAACTGAGTATAAAATTACTAAATACAATCTAGTTTTGGCTGAAAAAATTCATTATTTAATTTACTATTTCTATTTTTTTCATGTTGTGAAATTTCCAAAATTTTATTGTGAGATACTCTTGAAAAAATCAATAACAAAACTTCCTTAATTCTTAAAATAGAATTTCATTTTCTTTTTACTAGTGATCTGAAAGTTCATTTTTATATATCCAACCAGTTTCACTTTGACTGATAGTTATTAAATGTATTTTGATACTTTCTTTTGCTCAAGAAAGTGGTCACCACTTCCAGCTATAAATCATGAAAAACACAGCAAAAATTGACAAAAATTTATAAGTGGCCTATGACCTGACCTGCTTCAGTGATATCACTATTAACTTTATCAGGCTTGGTAACAACATTTTCACTAACAATATTCTTGTTCAAAATCATTTTATATCTGACAAATATAGCTTCTTTTCAATAAATAAAGAGATCTTTTACATATTTACATTGTTTGAATAAAATAAATTCACCAATAATATTCAATAAGTACAAAATTGAGTCTTTCTGCTGTTACCTACCATACTCGCTAAACCTAAAAAAACTTGTATGTCTTATCAGTGACAAACATGTTCACAGCTTCCAAACAGATGTAATTTAAGATGGAAATATTTTCAGGAATGAAAAGAACGTCTGAAGAAACTATAAAAAAAAATTCACAGATCTGAGGAAGCCTTCTAAACTTCCATTATATTATTTGTTTCCTCTGAAGCTCCATGTAAACACTTTCCCATGAAACCATAAATTACTGTTCATATCACTTTATTTATTCTAGATATGCAACTGAAAAGTGCTCCGTGATCTGGAAAAAGTTCAAGGGATACAGCATATAAGAACGTAAAAATGTTTGATTGGGTAATATAGTAGCTTTAACATACGTGATAAACTTGGGTCGGCCTGAAGGTGATGACGGTTCTGAGTAACACAGTGATTTGTTTTCTCTGGGAACATCAGCAGACTGGCTATTTCCCATTGTCTGAAGAAAATGACAGAAGTGTATTTTTAATATATTTATAAGTACATCTGAATATAACGATACAATTTTAAAAAAGTAGGCACTGGGACTATACATTACAGCTTTAACTAACATTACTCTCTTTCATTTTTTAATCTTATGCTGCTGAAATGTGCTGTATATTACACAATAAGCTGCTCTGTATGAGAATTTATTTCCAATATGCTCAACTGTATTAAGTCTAGTATTCTATTTCCACACAATGTACAATACGATGCTATGTATGGACATTCTTATATCTAATCTCAACAACTGATTATAGTTGATTATAGCACAGTGATCTTATACAATGTAGTTATTTTTGTCTAGCCACTTTCGCTGTGCTCAACTGCTGTTTTTTTTAGCACTACTACACCACACAATGTACAATAAGGTGCTTAATTTGTTTATTCATTTGTTGTAAAAGTGCAAAGCTACACAGTGGAATATTTGTGCTCTGCCCACCTTGAGTACTGAAACCCAGTTTTTAGTGCTATAAGCCTAAATATATTATCTTAGGTTTTTTCTTGAGCAACCAAAGCACAAGGTCAAACACTTAAAATGGAAGGACTACATCTCAAATCCCCTTGCTTTTCACATGATAAGTTCATTAGGTGTTGAAGAATGGGATCACCAAGGAATATCTTTTATTTAGGCCCAGGAAGGAGGAAGAATTTCTATCAAGAAACACTCTGAGTATCAACAAACACTGAGGCTGAGAGGAATTAGTAAAAGTAATAAAGCAAAGTAAACAAAGGAAAGGAAAGTAATTGTTACACCACTTCTGTAGTGTGGAATAAAGTGGGTGTGAATAAGGTAGGTATGAATAAAGTATGTGTGAAATAAAGTAACTTAAGGTAAATTATGTGTGAAATAAATACTGCATATAAATGCAAATTCTTGATTTAATTTACTAGTTCAACCCCTACATTCAATCCTGATGACCCCAGACACAGGACGGATGTCTCAGTTTGTTCTATAAAATGTACAATAAAATGCTTGACATTAAAGTACTATATGACATAACTATTATATAAGCTTTGGTACAGGATAATAATTAGTTAACATTTTTAGAAAATATAATATATGGCAAGCAATTAAAAAAAAGCATAAGGTCCCTATTAGGCAAACAATATAAGAACATGAAAAAAAATTATCAGACAAAATAAGAAAATAGAAGATAACCAGAGATAAATACTATGAAAATTATGTGTTAATCCATTAGGTAAGAAGCATAAGAAGTTATTGAGAAAATATGCAAAAAAGACAATCAAAAATACAAAATAACTAATAAATAATTAATAAGGATGATAAAATTGGTTATGAGCTCTAATTAAAACAGTATTTTCCATGCTTCATACACCAGCTAGGTTTTAAGGAGAAATCATACAAACATTCATTATTGTCTTTGCATTTTTTTCCCTAGTTTCCTGGAAGAATTATATGTCTTATTCTATATAAAATAATAATAAAAAATTTTAAAGTAGTATTATTTTCATTCCTTTTGTGAATACACTAATAAGCAAATAACAACAAGAAAGTATAAACACCATGTGTTTTTGGCATGTAAACACCAACCTTGGACATAATTGTGCTGATCAGTGTTGTTGCTAAACCAGCAACTTCTGTTGATGGGTCATTACCCATTGCCAGCACAGCTCTCCAAATGTTAGTGTAAACACTCGCAAAAACCAGTCCACTGAGAGAAGATCCACCAGTCATACTACTGATTGAGGTGCTTGAGCTCACCCTCCTCATGCAATCTGAGACTGAGACATGAGAAGCATCACTAAATACTCCTGACTCCACATTACCACCAAGGCTTGCAAGAAAATGACCTATAGTGTAAAACATAGTATAATATTTTTATTTACTGTTTAGGTGAAGATTCCATAAATGTAAAATATTGAAAATAACTTCTGTTTCAGATTGTTACGTATGAAAAACCTACTTCAAGAGCAAATACTTTTTTAATCTTAAGTTCCTGTAGTAGAAAAATGAAAAAAATCAAGAAATTTATATGTAGTGTGAGGACTCAAGAATAAATAAAACTTACATTTTGAAATGTTTACTTCCTCTTAACCTGCACTTCCTTATGAAACACACTTTATTAAACAACTAAAATTATATATTTTATGTTGTGGAGTTGGGTTATGTCTACACATCTATTATATAAACCAATCTTACAATTTGTTTGACTAACAATTTTGATACTGTCACAATATCAGTTATTCTTTAATTAAGCTCCTTAATTAGATGTTCTGCTTATGCAGAGCTTTGTTTCAATGATGCATTTAAATTTTAAGGGACACTTTCAAAACTTACTTAATGCAAGAGACTACTAGGCAGTAAAGCTAACACTTAATAATTTACTATGAGACTGATATTAAAACAAAACAGCAGATGCCATTAATTATTCAATAATTTAACCAAGTATTAATAAAAACTGCTAAAACTTCAAAGTTTTCACAATCAGTCATAAGAAGTCTGCATTAAACTTTACATCACAGGTAGGTCAAAGTGCTCATCACTGCCTTTTTACATTTACATTCAAAACTTAATTAAATAATATTATTATCAATGTACATCAAAAAACTTTGGCATCAAAACATAGTTTATAATTCAAATCTTAATATTATATAAGTTTTAATTTTTTAGTTTAAAAAGAAATATTTAAATAAATTCTTAATCTTCATTTGTCTGTATCATGTGAAACGTTCTTATGCTCCAAATTGCCCATTTTAGATTTTCTTATACCTCTATGTGACTTCTTAGCTTTCTGTGGAACTTCACACTTACACTATACATATCCACAACAATGTTTTTTACTTTATGGATATATAAGCAATAAATCAAAGGCCACATGCCATGCCCCTATAAAGTAAAACCCCTTTTTCAAAAAATGTCAGTAATTCTCTCTGACATTTGTTATTGGATTATTTGTAACCAACAGAAAGAGAAGATTTCAACTTACTGAATGCAAAAGGACCTGAAGCCATTGGAATAAATGGTTTGAACATTTTCTTACCATTGTTTTTGTTTACCTGATTGCTTGTCCAGGTGTGTGAATTATTTAACAGACTTCTAGCTTAGTTCAAAAAACAGGTAAATTATACAAGTTTTAGGACTATATTAGTGGCAATTTTTTTGTATTCTAAATTGGCCAAGTTGGCAACCATATAGGATGAGAATATTCGGTGACAGAGATTCGAACTTGCAACCCTAAGATTGCAAGTCAAGCACCCTAACCACTAGGCCATGCCAGGCCCAAATTCAATCATAAAAAAATTAGATAAAATAAAAATATATTAGCTTTGGCTGTAAAAATAAATCATGTGTAATTGTCTGTGAAGTCATTATATAAAGAAAAAATGGTTAATTTACATTAATTTCATATCTTTTTGTTATACGACAGTTACAAGGTTTGTCAAATTGACAGAAACTGATACAGTTAGTATCTATGGGGTTTTGAGTTCATTTTACTTCTCCATATAGTGACCTAAATGAATTTAGGTATTTGAATAATGTTATGACATTTCATCAAATTCATTATTCCATATTATACTGTGGACCAACTTGTTAATGATTGTGTGAGTGTGTCTTTAACGTGTATATATATATATATATACACACATTTCTTTTCTTTTTCACCAGAGGTGAAATTGAAAAGAAGAATCTGTAACATAGAGGCCTAATGTATTCTTTGACTGGCTGTACCCTCTGCTATCAGTGTTAGGGTAGAGAAAGTAACAGATAAAATATAATTTTGATGAAAAACGTTTGATGTTCATTTATAATATTCTAGAGGTTATGCAAATGAAGTATGAAAATTATAAGTTGGAAAGAAGTATTTATATTTCACACATGGAGGATGTGAAACGATATAATTATTTTCAGGTTTTATGCATACATTTTGAAATAACCAAAAATCATAATTTAATAATAACAATACCATAGAATTCCACTATAATTTATCAAGCATGGTAACTAAGCAGTATTTGGATCTAAAAATATACATAATTTCGAGCTCACTAAAGTCTTACCTCACTGCTTCTAATCTTGTATAAAAAGAAAGGGTTCCATGTCCGTACATTTGAAAAAGGCTGAGAAAGCAACTAGGAGGACATTCTGAGTTTTTGATTGGTTATTCACACGTCATAAACAGAAGTAGGTGTACATGAGTGTTTTCAAAAATGGAAGAGGTGGGCATGGGCACTGTGTTTGAGTCAGTAAATTTAGCAATATCTCAGCAAATAGAAAAGATAGGAGGTTCTTATTTTGTATTCTAGCTTGTCAATATTGGTAAGTTGAGTTCCTAATTTGCAAGAAACTAGACTTTTTTTTTGGACATCACAAACATCTAACTTGAACCAATGCTACATTCAACATACCACATGATACACAAAAATCAATATTTAGGTGTTTTTTTTTATATCTACTTTTAGTTTAAGAAATAACTAATGTATAATACTAAAATTTCAATTATAATCTTCGATTTGATTCCAAACTTATTGACATAAATTCATAAAATATTAGTTGAATAAAATTTTGAATGCAAGTCAACCAATGATCAACCCGTGATCTGTGTCAATAGGGTTAACTGGCAAGGAAAGCCTACTTCACAGATGAACTGTTTAAGAACACTTCGTCGCCATCCCACATATTATTTAAATTACAACTAATGAAAAGAATGCATTTTTAAAGAACACAAGAAGATCTTTAAAAATAAAATTTATGACTACAAACCTCCACTTGGTGACCCAAACAGCTTCAGTCTATCTCTAGATGTCACTTTTCTCAATGTACTAGTAGAGGATATGACTTCAGGTACTTAAGTAGAAAATCAATGTATAAATAAAACTTCATTCTCCCAGTATAAATATAAATTTCATAATATGGATAATTCATATACATATGTACACAAAAGATAAATAAAGAATTACATTTATTACCCTCTGAGCAAGAACAAATTGTTATTAACTTATTCTATAAACTTAAGAACCTTATTATACACAAGATAAATAAACATTAATATACATATATAAATCCAACTATGTGCTTGTTTTTTCATAAATCAACAACGAGGGAAAAAAAACTGTCAAAAGCTTAGGCAAAACAATATCAAACATAATCTGCTGAATTCAAGTAGATTTTAAAACTTCTTGTTTCTATTTATGATAAAAAGTTATAATTTGTTCAACAAATGTATTCACCAGTTGGTAAAAAACTGTTTGGGCTTTGGTTCTGTATGGTGTCTTTCAACCTCTCTTCTTCTAGGAACTGAGTAGCAACAGCTACAAACTGATTTTCAAAAAGAAGAACCAACCACTGGAGGGCAACTACCAGCTCCTGGAACAAAAAAAGTACTTAATTCCATTAGACAAAACAAAAAACATATCAAAATAGAACTGTCAATTTCTATTATAATGGAACTACAACAAAAATTTCAACAAACACCTAAAAGAGTGACATCAAATACTCCTGAAACATACCTCAATTTCCATAATAACTGAGCTACTGAATAATAATAAAAAAGTTTTTAAAACTAATATCTAGAAGTATGTATATATTTCAACATCAAGAGTTTAAGCAACAATAAACATATCAAAATACATGTTCTTATGTGTTTGTTTCAGCCCATTTTCCTCAGAGTAACCATAAAGCAGTTATACTGTAACTTTTTAAAATGTACACATATCTTCACAAAATTTGGCAGATTATCAGTAAACAAAGTATTAGATTTATCAAGTTTTAACATTTTTTAAAATTAATTAATGATTTTTCTCCTGCATTTTTTATTTTCGAATGTTGACTGTCCAATATGTGACGTAATTTTGATTTTAAGATTAAAAATACTTTTATGCATCAGAAAATTATCAAATTTCACATGCGAAATCTTTATAACCTCCTAATCTCCTACAGATAATTATCGAACTTTATATTTTATCTTATTTTCACTACTGTATCTCTGTATGGGTTTGGTCAATTCAACCAACCTTGTAACCACCATAAAAGAATAGGAAATAGATATAAATTATACTTTTTTCATTCTAGAATGACTACATATTATAACAAGAAACTACCAATATTTAGTATAAATAATTTAAAACTCACAACATTATACATTTATATAAATTTATTATTTACATTTTATAGACCTATCAGCAGTGTCTGACTAACATTATAGAAGTTGAATGATGTGGCACATATACACTCATGTTACTGTATCCAATAATATAAAACTGGCCCTTGCAAAGTGACCTGTTATGGCTGTATTTTAGTGGACGAGTATTTTCTAAAATACAGTCATATTTCAGTTATACAGGTTGACCATCACTAGTCCGGCAATCAGTAATCCGGCACTAATTTCGGCTAGAACAATTTCAAATACAGTAAAGCAAGATACGCGCTATTAGGTAAATACTTTAGTCTCACTTGAAAGTTTTCTTTCCAATATTTTCTTTGATTAAAACTTAAAGAAAACCCCGTTTTATGGGTGTATTCTAACCTAATAGATGGCTAATCCGGCACCCTCCAGGTCCTGATGATGCCGGATTAGTGATAGTCAACCTGTAATACATTATATATACATATATACATTACTACTATTTACAAATAAGTTCTTAAATTTCAGTTGTTTTTCTTAAAACATAGAACAGTAAATAAAGAAATATAGAAAACAACTATCCTTTCTAGTTACAAACTTTGTAGTCGTTTGATGCTTGCCATAATTTGCTAAGCCTTATCAAATTTCACGTTAAAAATAAGATTTTTATGATGTCCAACTACAAAATCTATAGTTTCTTATAAATTAGAAACTCAAATTACTGATATTTACAAGCTAGAAAATAAAATAAGAACTTCCTATCTTTTCTATTTGCTGAGATATCGCTACATTTAGTGAATCAAACACAGTGGCTCCACCCACCTCTTTCCATTTTGGTAAATGCTTACATACATCCACTTCTGTGTATGATGTATGAATAACCAGTTGAAAACTCAGAATGTCTCCCACATGGTGTTCATAGCCTCTGCGAAGTGTTTACACAGGAAATCTTTTCTTTTCATGGTAGATTCCAAGTGGTAAGGTAAGACATTATTGAGCTCAAAAAATCATATTCTTTTAGACTCAAATACAGCTTAGTTACTAAGCTTGATAAATTATAGTGGAATTCTGTGGTACTGATATTATAATTTATGATTTTTTTTGTTATTTCAAAATGCATATATAAAACCTACAAAAATTATTTTGTTTTAGATCTGAACCAATGCTGCATTCAAAATACCACGTCACACAAAAAACGATATTTAGATTGTTATTTTCATAGTTACTTTTAAACTTTGAAATTAACTAATACATAGTACTAAAACTTGAATTATAACCCACAATTTGATACCAAACTTACTGACATACATTCATAAAATAGTAGTTGAATAAAATTTTGAATGCAAGTCTACAAACACGATGACATGGCCTATGACCCGTGACCATAGGAAGACCTGTCAGACCTGTCTCGTTAGCATTAACAGACCTACTTAGTTGTCTGTTTTTGGATATTCGCACAATGCTACTCAAATGTTATGTGTGCTAATTGCCCTAATTATGAATTGATAAAGTGAAGGCAAGTAGTCAACAGCACCCACCACCATATCTTGGGCTAGTCTTGTCCCAACGAATAATGGAATTTGATCATCACCCTAATAACACACTCACAGCACTAAAGTGTAGTAACATGAATAGAATGATGGACCTGCAGATCCACAATCCAACAACAGCTAACCACTGAACCACACTCAGCCCCCTTAAAAGAACTAGCAGATGACAAATAACAAACATTAATTTCAGTAATTCTGATAATTAAGTAATGATGAATGTCTCCAAGAGTAAAAGCTATATTAAATAACTATACCAGTGCAAGATATGAAAATGCAAGCCAAACTTTACAATAAAACATTCCAAAAATGGCCACTGTCATATAAGTTATTCATATTATAAAAATAAGCCATCTACCTTTCCTTTGAAAGCTACAGTCTGTCTGATCAAATGATCGACTTTCTTAATCTTGTATGATAAAGCTCTTATCAGTATTGTATATTTACCTGATATTTCATAGACAACAATGCTATACAAGCATCACAAACTTCCTTACCTTTCTCACAAGGACACTTCCATCATTGGCTAAAGTACTGATTAATGTCATCCCTATGCTGTGGTCTATACTATTTGCATGGTCAGATCTTTCTGTGGCACTGTTGATAAATGTTCCTAATGCATAAACTGTAGCAGCTCTAACCTAAATAGAATTGAACAAGTGTATATAGGTTGAAGTGTTCTATTTGACAAAAGCACTTATATCCAGAAATTATCAAAGGGTACCACACTGATCATACTATCACTTAAAAATGTAAGAGGTGAAATATGAACTCCAAACTAGATCACTATTCAAAAATTAGAATGTTTTGTTTATCACAATATAACCACCATTTCTAGTCAAACCAATCTAAGAGGATTGAAAACTGGTTAGCCCTTAGTCAACTTTTCCTGCCAGTCACCAGGTGATTTTATCCAAAAATTTAATTTTAAACACAACTGAACCTTTAAAGAAATTTAATTCATATTACTAAACCAACGTGAAATTCATTAAAGTGAAAATTAAGCTTAAGGAATTTACTAACAACTGGATCTTATATTTTTACTTGCTCATTACATTACAGTGTTGTTCACATTTCCAGTGATAAAAAATTACAAATTACAGTATAATAAATAAACTATCTTCTTCAAAATCTAATAATTCAGTACAGATATTCTGATATAAACTGATTTCCTTGAGTTGTACCTCAGGTACTGGATCATTCAGTAAAGAGTAGAGTTTTTCATGGGCACTATCACGAACTCCACACCACCTTGCTGCATCATACTTTGTCCATGTTCTACCTAAACAAATAGCCAACCACTGACGCAGTCTGGAATTAGAATCCCCTAGCTGTTCTAAGCAGATGGATATCAAGTTGCCTTGAAGAGCTGCTTCCTGTAAATACAACAAAAACTATCTTTAAAAGCAAATTGTTTACATTTCTTTCATGTAAAGTTACAAAACAAAATTAATAAAGTGAAACCCCTTATTAGTTATTAAAATTTGTATATGTTCTTCATATTACAAACTTAATATTTTCTTCAGTCACACGAGATATAAAACTAACAGGTGTCAAGATATATTTTAGTAAATGATAATGTACACAAATTATGAATTTAAGTTAATAACAGAATAATACAAAATAAAATTGTAATGACTTTACTTACATGAAATTTTATAAATAAATGAGTATCAATTAACAATACTGGAACTGCAACAAAGTGTTTTTTACCTGTCCACTTGGATACCCATTTACTATACATGCCATCACAAATGCTGCCATAGTTCTGTGTTCTGCCTGCAAAAAAATGAGTTGTGGAATTATGTGGCAACCAATAAAAGTTAAGTAGATTCCATAAAACATCTTAACATTATAAAACTGATGTATTCAATTCAAGTCAAACAAATGTTTTGTTGCTTTTTTATCTCCACATGTGTCTGCAGAGTCTGGAACTTTCAATAGCATAAAAGTTAATTTTATTTCTCTTGAAAACCTACACAAAACTCCAGTTCTGACATTTCAAAGTTTGTAAATAATCTATAGTCAGAGCAATTGTACTGTCTAAAACAATACTTGACTGCAATAATACATTTTGTTTTGTTTTTTCACTATTCACAAATATGTTTATTACAGGGATTTTCATATTTACCAAATATTCAGAGCAATACAATTATACAGATGTTACAAAATAGAGAAAAAAAGCAGTTAAGCCTTTATTTCTACTTGGAATTGCAGCAGCTGACTTGCAATATATTTCTTTTCAAGAATTATAAAAATCTCATACCTCTCTATGTTTATTAAGTGAAGGTAATCAAAATATATTTGATATAAAAAAAATCAGGAATGTTTTAAATTACTTGTTCTCTGATTAGCTTTCACACAGAAATTATAGTATCCCACCATTGTCACAAAGTCTAACTTTGGCTCCTCCAATAGTTTGACTATTATTGGGCATTTAAAATTGAAATAAGCACAGCAGATTAATAAATTTAACCTAAATTGCACCTTAACCAACACAAGGGCTAAGAAGCTAGGTCAGTAACCACTATTGTCAGACATAGAAATTACTAATTTAAATCTGTTGATCAGAGATAGGTCAAAAAACAGCAGCTGCCACCACCTAATATATTGAATGGATACTCTTAACCAAGTAAGAGGATTGACTATTATGTTTATAACAGCCCCACAGCTGAAAGTGCTGTGTATGTTCAGTAGCACGTTGTGGTTCAAACTTTAGTCCTTCCAAACTGCAGCCCATCAACCATTGGGCGATGCCCAGCTCAAGCACACAGGAGCCAAACTGAAAAAACTATTTATAAAATCAGTAACAAACACAACAAAAATTTCCTACATTTATTTTGCAATTGATCACAAATATTGACATACCTCGCATCATATTGGATTTAATATAGCATATCAACCAAAACAATAAGCATGTATTATACAGATAATTCATTAACATAAACAAGCTCCTTTCCCAATCTCGTGAAGGTACTATAAGTGTATGTCTAAAAAAGAAAATCATAAGTCAGCTTCTAGTTTTGTTTGGACTTTTTTTTGTCTAGCAATGCCAAACTGATTAGGTTTTTGTTTGTTTTTACATAACAAGTACAATAAAATACTAACAAGATAAAAGAAAGGCATACAAGATAAAAAAAATTGAAAAAAAAAAAGAAAAATTACTTTATATGATGTTTAAATATTAAACAGAATTAACAAGGACTATGAATCAGGTCTCATCATTGCCAATGTGAAAGGGACACCATGATTAAAAATGTGTCTAAACTGGTGCTACCACTCAATGTTGTAGCAATAGCAGAAAAGCAGTATGTGGACAACTGTGACTTGAGTGTAACACTGCTCAAAAATTGGCGAGTCACTCATATGTAAGAAAAAACGAGTAATAAAACTATGGTCACTGCACTTGTAAATACACTTGTGGTAGCTGTAAATGTACCTATATTGATGAAACTTCATGTCACCTACAAGTACATGGACAATAACATGTGGGAATTTCAGCCAGAAGTGAAAATAAGCTAACTAATCCAACTGAATTTGTATCCTATTACATAATGAGAACCACCACACCATCCTACTACAGAACAACAATTACAAACTCTTTATTAAAAAAAGACATTCCATTTTCAATTATCACCCTACACTAAATAATAACATCAACTTGTCTTTATTGTTATTAATCTACCCATTTCCAGATTTGCAATTTTTTATTGTTAAAGTTGCTGTGGTTTATATTTTAGCCTTTCTTTATAATGTTTACTCTTAAAAGTATTATTAAACATGCATCTGCCATGTGTTTTATCATTCATTCTATTATACTGTTACCCTTTAAATGTGTTCTTTCTAAACTTTTGGCAGTATCAAAAAGTTCTTGCTTAATAACTGAAGTTGCTTTTGGTAGTTAGAATGTTGTGAAGTTTTCAAATATAACTACACATAAAAAAAAACAATCAATACTTACAATAATATATGAATCAGCTAAAACGTTAAGGAAGTACTTGTGACCACCATCTCGAACCAAGTCTGCCTGACAAGTCTAGAGATAAAGGAACATTTAAAATAGATCAATCAAGAATAAAAAAATTATCTAAATCTGCAAATTTTTCAGAATTTCAATATAAATTAAAAGGAAAAAAAAATTCATCTTTGTACCACAGTACTATCAGTTATTAAAAATAATGTTTTCTTCTGATGCATAAATACTTTCTTTTTATAAGGTGAACCCTTGTTAGTCCAGACACTGACAATCTTATATGATTTTTCATGTACATAAATTTTCACAACAGATAATTTAATCATTAATCTGTATATTTGCATTCTGATTCCAAACAGCTATTTCTTATAATAAACACACATTTCCAATGGATACATATTTCAGTAACTCATACATAATCCTACAAGTGTCAAGTACGGGTCAATCAGAACAAGAGACGAGGGATAATTACTGACCAAAAAATACCTGTACTTGCAGTGGGTACCATTTTAAAATAATTTTCCTGAGAACAACCTTTACAGTATGGATATATATATATATATATATACATACACTATAACAGATATCAAGAGAGCATTAGAATGATTATGCTACAGTCAAGTCACATTGCTCTAAAACAAGGATGCATAAAAATATCAGTATCATTAAAATATGATATATATTTATACACGAAAACAAAACATGTACTAAATTTGTATTCTATAAATAACTCATTCAGGGGAAGATAATGACATATGCCACTTTCATTATGTCGTCTGAACAATTACTGACAACATGTAAGATGATAAACTGACAAGTTCCTTGTATATACAGTTGCTTTTTGTTTACTATTTGCATTCCCCCATTCTTACTGGTTTGCATATCTTACATTTATTGATCATTAGCACAATACATGTTCTTAATAGTGTCTAATATATTCAACAATCTGGATGTCTTGATAATCTGAAAGGACTACTTTAGATTAATATAAGTTGTTCTGAATTGTGAAGAATGCCTGTTCTATTTTTTAAAAAAATATTTATAGTATCTGTTCAATCCTGATGTAAAAACAATATCAAATACTATTAAACTGATAAGTTTTAAATTGTCTTTTAGTAAAATGTAATTAAATAGTTTTTAGTTTTGTCATAATAGTATTTTTTAAGCATTAATGCATACTTTTACATTTCTGAAGCATTTACATTTTTATAGAAAAAGTTGGACTTCAATACATGACTATTTAATATGCCTATATAAATCAGGGATGGCCAACATTTTGAGTAGTTAAGCCAATTTTAGGCTCTGAATTTTGAATACTGTGCCATTGATACAATAAAGCACTCCAAACCAAAGTCCATAAGAATGAGTAGAGGGTTCATGCAACCAAATTGAAATGCATTACTAAATAAATTAAATGAATAATAATGACACAAACTTTGTGCTATGTGACACTATATTTCAATATTTTCTAAATTACAGGCACAAGTTTTTGCCTCGCATACCATGGGTTTGTAACCTCTGATATAAGTTGTATGTTTATACATTCTACTCAAGAAATCAGAGAATATTTCTTAAATATATGTCACTGATTGAAAATTCAGCAGACAGCAAATGAATGGTTTAATTAATAAATAAATGAAAATATTTTTTACACAGACTGCTACTGATTAAACTTTAACTAAACATTATAATAAAACATAATTACTTTAACAAAGACATTTAACTTTTTCAATCATATTTCAGAAGAACACAACTATATTTAAATGAAATACTTGGCAACAGTTACATCAACCTAAAAAAAAGAAAATGATGAAGTATAGAAAATTTTTAACACACATCTCAAAAGGTTGGTATATCTTATTGTATATACAAATATTCTTATGGTGGGTTAAAAATAAAAAATGGTGTTGGAAAAACTGGAAGTAAAGTACAACAGCTTGTAATAAATAACAATTTTACACTGATATGTAGTCATACAAGCTTCTTTTTTCTAACTATAAAATTATAAACAAGTATTTCGAGTAGTGAAAAAGAAAGAAAGGAAGTAATCATTTATTAAAGAATTAAAAAATAAATAAAATTAACTGAAAAGTATCAACTGTGAATAAATTAAAAGCTCAATAA